GTATAAGTAATATCAGTGCATGTTTCCGTAATAGAGCCAGTAGTATAAGTAATATGAGTGCATGTTTCCGTAATAAAGCCCAGTAGTATAAGTAATATGAGTGCATGTTTCCGTAATGAAGCCAAGCAATATAAGTATTATGAGTGCATGTTTCCTGTAACGACGTCTAGCAGTATAAGTAATATAAGTGCATGTTTCCGTAATGAAGCCTAGCAATATAAGTAATATGAGTGCATGTTTCCGTAATAAAACCCAGCAGTATAAGTAATATGAGTGCATGTATCCTGTAGCGACGTCTAGCAGTATAAGTAATGTGAGTGCATGTTTCCGTAACACCCCATGCAAAGGCTTTAGAAGAGTTCTTAAAGAAGTTCGAATTTACCAAGAAATTATTGTGTAAGGTGTGATTGCCGTTATTATTACGACGTTTGGTACTATTTTCTTATTTGTTTTCACAGTTACTACCACCTCAGACGTGCTCTAGAAGTCATATACGCTATCTAATCATTGTTAACTCTATGATCTACAAAATAAAAAATATTTCTGTTCCAAATGGAACAGAATGTTGTCATATTTCCTCCTGTCCTTCATGAAGCCATAATTTTATAACTATCACAATCCCAGCTCCTTAGACCTAGTTACATTCAGTTGTAGTTTGCATCACAGCAAATGTGCCATTATTTATCCTGTCTCTTTCCATAATTCCTTGCATGCAAACTACATTCATAAAGTGTCAAGAAGAATATATAAATATTAATAAATTGTGATAAGTGTAACAACTATCTATATAATTGAAAGACTAATGTATGTGCATGCGTGGTAAGGTTTTTAAACTTCATTCAATAAGCTATGCAAAAATGAAATTAGGAGTATGGAAGTACGGACAACGTCACCAGATGCGTAAGGGGTGGGCTGTAGATATTAATATGCATTGCAAAGGGTAAGGTATTGGGGGAATGGATGAGACACCTCTCTGAGCCCTATCCCAGACAGCAGTTTTTATGCGTTAAGGTTTTCTGTGTGTGTTTCTTCATTTGTTTAGACACTGCTGAATTTTAATACTTGCCCCCGATACCCAGGATTTAAAAGCGTTGCTACATTTGGTGTCTCTTACTAGAGAAGTTAATCGGTTTGTCATTTATGATCAGACCATTCAGCTCAAAGTGTCTTTTGTACTAAAGGTGTTTGGTTGGTATCCCTTGCTGTGTAATAGGTTTAACCTCACAATCATTGAGATACCCCGTATGTTCATCAGATTTCTTGGTAGCTCAACGTGAGTAGTGTAGACAGGTCACTTAACTGTTTTAATAATTTAAATATACAGCTGTGATTTTATATTTTATAAATTCTGTGTATTCAAATACAAAATATCACAACCCCACCCCCACCCCAAAAACATGTTTCGTACGCGAAGCACGAGTTTTCCTCCTATTGTTAATTTAAAGTACGACTCGACATTACCCATCTCTTCACATTTCGGTAATTCAAGAACCTTTTTGGTAACGAGAGTACTTAAAATAGTGAATAATAACGATATTTTAAAGTAATGTATTAATATTTTGATCGTGATATACACAGTTTTGCTGGACTTTATGTTACACACACATATATATATATACATACACATAACATATGGACTAAAATGAATCATTTCATCCTTCAAGACTGTCCACGTACATTCAACTTCAAGAAATAAAGAGTAAAACTAAACTAAGGAAACTGCGATTCTTCTTTTAGATTTTCGTAAAGAGCCAACTTCTGCTAAAGAATAGAACTGCTTTAACTGAAACCTAGCCTGTCTTTACCAAGTCTTCTCGTCCTTTGTCGTCAGAATATAGCACAAAATATTCAGGTCTTTAACCTATCGATTTTTCAGATAACCTTGTAAACTTCAATGAAATCATCTCCTACCCTTCTTCTCTCCAGAAAGAATAAGTTAAGAGATCTTAACCTAACCTTATAAGATAACACTTCCAGAACCATCCTAATAGTCCTCCTCGAGGCTCATTCGTCAATAGCCTCTTTTTAGGTAAAGATACCAATACTACTTACAGTATATTATAAGTGAAGTCTAATTAGTTATTTATACAATTAACTATTTTTCAATGTGATCAGTATGCATAAAAATACAACCCAAAATCGCATTATAGCTTTGCTGCTACCAACAGGACACTACTTAAAAGGATTAGTGACTCAACTACCATTATACGAAGACCCAATTGAGGGGTTCCCGTCTATGCTAAATGCATGATCCACATTATGATAACCAAACCGATTATTTGACACTTGCTATGGTAAAACGTCATTTGCCAGCTATTTGTACAACTTATCAATTAATCCATAGCATTTTGTAATACCTCAATGTCCTTAATATAGCTAGAAATGCCCAAACTTTACTAATTTTGCGTTTCTTAGGGCAATAAATGTAAATACGAAAATACAAAGGTACAAACACTGGCCGCTGAGATACGCCATTAGTAACAAAGGTACAAACACTGGCCGCTGAGATACGCCATTAGTAACAAAGGTCTAGTTTGATTGGACTCCATTAATAACTTTTTGCTTTCTTTCACTCAGCTACCGTAATTAACTAGTCTTCCATCAGCGAACATGAGCTATGGAACGACAATAAATTCTCGAGGTTATAAACAGATCTAAAAGCAAAGACAACTCACCATATTACAGAAATTGGGGTTGTTTCTTTTCCTTTCTCAAAATAACAGTTTACATAATTTGTATGAACCGACTGCAGCTATAACTGACAGAGTTGGAGTTGTAACTATTAGTTTTGTAATCAAGTCTTTTGGAAGAACTATCCTGGTATCGAGAGATTTTGTAGCGATTGTTTGAAATCGGTAATGTTTATTACCAGAAGATTCATACAGTTTCTTTATAGTTTATTCTGATAATTTTACTAAACAAGTAGTGCCAATGATCAACCACAAATATTTAGCTCTGAGAGTTCGCGATAAAGAACACATTAATAAGCCGAAGTTGTTGTTTTTTCTTTATGTAAAGCTTCAAATTAACTAGACTCAATTCTTTATCTGTATTTCATCCTCAGCTCTCCTCACACTCGTACAATTCTTAACTTGAACTCAAGAACGAGACTAACAAATGAAAACTGAAATAATTTCAAAAATACAGTACACCAATTTATTAACAGAACACAATAATTACTGTAGCAGCAGCTTCTTCTGACATTTAGAATGGATAATGAGACATACACGTATAATATATGTCTTTACTAATAGATTCTTTTACATGTAACAATTAATTTTGTAGTATCTTTTTAATATAAAAAATCTGGCACACAGTTCAACTATTCTCATATAATAGTGGTTTATACATTTAGTGGATGGAATGTTATGTGAGCACATGAGAAGATAAGAGACTGACAAGCTTGATTATGACAAGCGAATAATGCTAATTTTCTTTTCAATAACTTCACATTTCCACGGTGTTAACATGATGGGGTTAAAACAAATTTTAAAAACTACTATAATTTAATTGGCAAAACTGAACAGAATGTCTTAATGAAATACTGAATTAAACTTACAAGAGCAAAACTGGCTAGAAACTAAAGAAAATACCGTTTGTTTATTTGTTGTTAAGCACAAAGCTACACAATAAGCTATCTGTGCTCTTCCAACTGCGGGTATCAAAACCCAAATTTTAGCGTTATAAGTCCCCAGACGTATCGGTGAACCACCAGGAGGCAAAAAAAATACACGTGGTCGTTATAATACCTATGAATAATGGAAATGCACGGGGGCTTGAATTTTTCAGCTAATCTCTTTCAAAAATCTCAAGTTGAATGTTGCCTCTAGTTAGTCTAGTAGCTTAACCAGTCACAATTCAAAATCGGAATCTTTTTTTTTTCACTTCAAGTGAAAATAGTGCAAGTAGCTTCGTAACGGTCAAATTCAAGGCATCGACATGGAAGTTGATCCATTTTTTAATAGACACAAGATAGACTGGCACCTACTATAAAGGCTATACACCTAATGTTATGTTCTGTATGCGATCATTGGAAGATTACTTTGCTCTCAACTAGTTCGTAAAACGAAATAATCAATATATTTTTTTTGTATCTTAGCCGATGCTAAATCTGTATAAAGGTATGCATAGTTTGTAATATTAGCAAATTCTATTTTAGTATGCGGTCAGATGTCAGGTATCAAGGTCGAGTGTTATATGTTGGTGTATTATTAAAGAAGGAAATTACATCAAGCAGAGGCCTATACAAAGCCATTTAAAAATATTTAAATAATTATAATGAATGTTTGCTGTATATATGACAGTCAGCGATGCTGCAAAATAGTTTTAATTTTATCTACAAAAAGAAAGCTCTAACGAATTAAGTGTTCATACGGCTCATGGTAAATAGATCTATGGGGTAAAAACATAAAGGTATTGGTGGCATGATATTTCTCGCCACGCCAGTCAATCGAAATTATGCAACATTTTCACGTCTACAGTTGATTTTTTGATTATCTCGGGCTAAAGTGAAAATGGATATTTGCCAAATATGATTACTAGCTAGTCCCCCATTCCCATCCTACGAGTGAAAGCTTCCTAATATCTTTTTGATAGTGGGAATACTCAATGGACGGTTACGATTCCTATTGAAGGGGTTACTAGCTTCCATCTTACTACACATTCTGCCGACGTTCTAACTGCTAGCGCAGATCTTACACCAGATTAACAGCAAATACAGGTGAATGAATCGAGATTTTGCGCTCAAAATAAATTATCGAATTTATTCATACACATTACTGATTGTTTTATTGTGGTAAAAATCATACAATTTCTTGTGCCGTGTTTTAATAACCAGCGAAAAGAGATGATATTAAACTTTCATGAATCAGAGCCCTCACTTTAGCATATACGTTATAAGTGTGCTAGAAACTAGAACTCACAATATATATATAGCTTGACATATTTGTTTTATTTTCATCTGTTTCGATAACATGGTTTACCACTTGTCAAGGTAGTAATAAGAGTATTTTATTTATTTACAGTTCACGGTGGATGGTGGCCGGCAAAGGGAACCAGTTACGTGTTGGAACAAGATATATCCATCCCGATAGTCCTGCTAACGGACGCCAGTGGATGGCGCAGACTGTCAGCTTCGATAAACTGAAACTGACCAATAACAAACATCCGCTGTTAAAAGGACAGGTCAGTAATATTATAATTTTTAAGCAATAATAAATAGTTATTATTTTGGAACAATGTTAACTATCTGTTTATCTTACATTAAATACTTGACACAGTTGTCAGAAACAAAAACCATTAATTTAGAGGTGGGTATTTATTTACGAGCAAAGGTGGTAATATTAACTCATATTAGCTATCACTACTAGTAGGGTTTTGCGCTAGAAATATCATTTTCAGTTTTCAACGTATCCACTACAACTATATAAAATGAAGGACAAGCATATTGAAAAGAATAGTTGACTTCCATTGTTGTTCACAGTAACTTTAAAGTTCATATCAGTGTGTAAGTTCACACTAACTTTGCAATTCCCATTGGCAAGTAAGTTTAGACCGACTTCACAGTTTGTATCAGTGTGTAAGTTCACACTAATTTTACAATTAATATCAGTAAGTAAGTTCACACTAACTTTATTGTTCATGTCAGTATATAAGGTCACACTAACTTTACAATTCATATCAGTATGTAAGGTCACACTAACTTTACAATTCATATCAGTATGTAAGTTCACAGTTCATATCAATGTGTAAGTTCACACTAACTTCACAGTTCATATCAATTTGTAAGTTCAAACGAACTTCACAGTACATAATAATGTGAAAGTTTATACGAGCTTCAAAATTCGTATTAACACGTAAGTTCACATTATGTTCACAGTTCATATCAATTTGTAAGTTCACACTAACTTCACAGTACATAATAATGTGAAAGTTTATACGAGCTTCAAAATTCGTACTAACACGTAAGTTCACATTAACTTCCAGTTCATATCAGTGTGAAAGTTTACTAACTTCACAATTCATATCAGTGTGTAAGTTCACACCAATTTCGAAATTCATATCAGTATGCAAGTTTCTCTCATGTTTATCTATTGACATGATGTTCATATTTTCTTTTATAGATGCACACTTCGAGGTGTAAATCGTTACAAATTTCAAACATGTATTTCTAGGTTGTGCTTCATTCCATGCAAAAGTACCAGCCGAGGATATGCATCAAACGTGTTGATAATACTGGCTCGTCTAAAGGAGTTATGGCTGAGACAACAGAAGTGAAGAGTTTTGTTTTTCCAGAAACCAGCTTTTTTACAGTGACAGCCTATCAAAACCAGCAGGTAGGAAGAAACACATTTGTTGTTAAAACTTTTGCTTGTGATGTTATAAAAGGTAATAATTCATTTTGTTATGTTTTTTTTCAGATAACCAAGTTAAAGATTGCCAGTAATCCGTTCGCAAAAGGTTTCCGTGAAGCAAGCAAATACAGGTACAGTTAATGATAGCATTCTTATGAATTTTATTGAGTTATTTGATGTAATTATGACCATAAAACGAATTTGGCTGATTTATTTCAACAGTGCGATATTAATAATAGTAAATCTAACAAGGGTAATTTTCAATCATCTCGCCTTACAAAACCACAATGGATTACATAATGAGAGACCCTCAAGATGATTCAATAAGGCATGAAAGCATATCAACTCGATTCTGGCGCTGCTATGCAGTATGGATTGAAGGGGTGGGTGATCAACAAACTGTTGTAAACAATGGCCGTCAGTAGCGAAAGTGAGAGGTCAGTGGAAATCAGAAAGGGGAACTATTTGCACTGCTATATACTGCAATAACTACAAAGGCACAAGGGCTCAACTGCAAAAGCCAAGGTGGACCTATAGCAGCGATACGTATATCCGATATATTCAATTTCTATGTAATTGAAGAAATTTGATCTAGTAGCGAGGGATTAATGAAAAGAAGTTAGATATTTAACCACTTTTGATAAACTTCAAAAGCCCTTTAGTTCCGCCTGTTTTAGGCCTTTTACACCATTGTACTAAGTTTGTTATTTTTTTGGCATGCGATTGTGTTTATTACCACGTAGCATTTGTATTTTTCTCATGTGTTAATAACATTTGGGTATGTATTATTAGTGTTCCTTGGTGTATATTTCTAATATCCATGTGTAGCAATGTGAATTCAAGGTTACACGGTATGCGTCCTGTTGCTGCACAATGACGCTCTGTACTTTGGGGTATTGGCTCATTATAAATGTGACGACCAAATCCTACTATTTGATTTGAGTAGCCAAAGAATTGGCAGTAGGTGTTTTTGAGTAGAGCGGCTAGTGCAGAAAGTTCTTGTGTAGCGTTGCTAAAAAATAAAGTGTTAAACGATATTTATTATTGTTATTTTTGAGTAAGTTATTGTTTTTATCTGTAAAATTAATATTTTTACGTATTTTAGTGTTTTGGGATATATATATATATATTTAACACAGTAGTTCAGTAAATTATTTGAAAATTTGAATATTTTTCACAAGAGATTTTACATTTCAGACGCTCTCAAAAATTTCTCGACTCGCAATTTGCGAGTTGTGGGATCGTAACCTGGCACTGAACATATTTGACCTTTCAGTCGTGGGGAGCGTTATAATATTACAATCAACCCCACTATTCGTTGGTAAAGAGTAGTCCAACAGTTGGCAGTGGGTCGTATTGACTAGCAGCTTTCTGTCTAGTTCATCACTTCAATATTAAGGACCGCTAGCGCAGATAACCCTCGAGTAGTTTTGCGCGAAATTCAACAAACAAACTCCCTCTCTCCGAAATATACTTGCACGGAACTTTTTAACATGTCTCACATCAGCAAAATTTCTTGGAATAACGTATGGTTCAAAACTAACTCGAAACAATCATATCAATCAAATCAGAAACAAAATATGGCAACGAGTAGACTATATCAAGAGACTGACTGGTTAAAGCACAGAAGCTACACCAGAAAATATCATTAAAATTTATAAACAATACATAGGACCAGTAGTAGAATACATCTGTTCCACTTGTACTAACGTACCACGAACACATACTAAGAAGTTATAGACTATACAAAATGCAGTAATCACCACAGCATTCAGAGTACACAGATCAACAAACCTAAAATTCATGCATAAATACGCAATTATAAAACCAATCCATGGCAGACTCATAAACTGCTTGTTAAAATATTTTAATAACAATTTATATAAAAACGATTCACTAACCTCAGTCCATCGTTATATCACACATGATAATGGTAGTCCAAAGTATCTCTCTCCGCTTAATTTTTATTATAAGAAAAAGTCCACCTATACTAGACCATAATATATCGCTTAGAATTAGGTAGCACGTGTATTTAAAAGGTATATGTGACATATATATGTCTGGTAACTGTTTCAAGCGAAAAAGTGTGATTTTGTTAGGAAACTGTTTGTGAGTGTAAACGATCAAATGAAAAAAAGTAGTGAACAGAAGCGTCGAGAGCCAGCACGGGCCTAGAGGCAAACATCCTTGCCGGACCCCTTCTCTCTCTCTCTTTTAACAATTTAAAGAATTTATCCTAAAGATCCTAAATTAGGACAGCAACGAGCTCATAAATAGACAAAATCATAGCAGCAGCCGTTTTTAGTTCACAGTATAAGAGTAAAAACGTTAATAAAGTAACAACAAATATCTATTAAATCTGTAAAGTAAAAAATATATAATAATTATTACTCTAATTATTATTTCGATCATTCTTAATGTATCAAGCGTCTATACACAAAGAAAAGCCAAACCTGTGCTTTTGGTGATAAAAAGGTAGATATAACCTAAAGGTGCTTTGCGGACTTTACGGCATAACCAGGTATCATTCGTCCAGGACCTAAAAGTGGTATGTTTGAAAATGTTATGGATTTTTAAATAAGTCCAGGTATGAAGTGGCCTATTATAAAATGAATTGGACAAAATGAATAATTAAAGATTTCTTGAATGTATAATTTGATTTTTGGCCATTTGTTTTATGTCTATCACTCAATAAAGTATTTGAAATTATTTAAAAAACAGTGCCAATGTTAATATATTTAGAAATATTGTAGAACAGTTCAATAAATTTAAAGCAAATTAAATAAAAGTGAAATTATTTAAAATTTGTAATAACCATTTTTAAATTAGGGAAGAGTTGAACTATCCCGGTTTGTCAGTTTGAAAATCTGATTACCTTAGTTCTACCTCTAAACCCGGGATATGATTTATATTTTTCTGTCATGTGACTTGTGCTCTAGTGTTATTTTTTATCCTTTTGCTGGAATTTAATTTTTAATATTTCTGCAGGTGGCAGGCCTTTTCCTTAGATTACTATTTGTTTACTAGTAAAGGTTTGGTCAGGCCGTTGGTAACGCCTTTCTTCATTCTGACATAAAATTTTACTTAACTATATCTCCTTCTTTGTATTTGTTTCATTATATACAGATATGTAAACTATCCTACCAAAAGTCATGGGACACACCTCTGATTGCAGGAAACTTGGTGTGACGCCAAAATATGGCCTATATAACTGATCAGCTAACGCCTAACGATGAGTACACAGAAAGAGCTAACAGAGTTTCAGATGGGAAAGATAGTTGGATGTCATTTGGGGAAAATGTCTGTACATGCTATTGCACAACAATTAAACATTCCCAGGTCAACAATTGGCAAGATGCTGAAGAAATGGAAGTCCACATGTGACAATGAGCCCAAGAAACGACCAGATAGGCGTAACATACTGACTGATAGGATCCGACGCATCTTGAGAAGGCTGGTTACCTCATCTCGCCATCAGACTCTAGAGAAGCTGTGTTTGGAGATGCGAGCAGCCACAAGCAGTTCTATAAGTGTTTCCACAACACGTCGAGAGCTGCATGCCATGAATTTTCACGGAAGAGCTGCAGCCCACAAGCCGTTGATAACAAAAACAAATGCACAGTGTCGATTGGCGTGGGGCAAGACACACTGATCCTGGACCGTGGATCAATGAAAATCGATTGTGTGGAGCGCCGAGTCATGCTACACGCTGTTTCAGTCTGATGGATGTGTTTGGGTATGGAGGATACCTGAAGAACGCTTATTACCTGAGTGTGTTGTCCCAACGGTGAAGTTTGGAGGGTGAAGTATCATGGTCTGGGGGTGCTTCTCATGGTATGGACTAGGTCCACTGGTTGCAGTGTATGGATCCATGAATGTTGAGTCCTACAGTGATATTTTGAACAATTCTGGGTGTCCTACATTGTGGCAATTTTATGGTACCGGCCTTTACATGATAACGCTCCATGTCACAAAGCAAGGATTGTGAATGCGTGATTGGAAGAGAATAACATCGGAACATTGCAATGGCCAACACAGAGCCTCGACTTCAACCCAACAGAACATCTTTGGGATGAATTGGAACGCAGAATTAAGCCAAGGCCAAGAAGGCCCTCTTCAGTAGTGGAGCTTACTAATGCTTTAAAGCAGGAGTGGAGTACAATACCACCAGCTTTCTACCTGAAATTAGTAGACAGTCTTCCACGACGCATGGAAGCAGTCATTAAGGTCAAAGGCAGACCAACAGCACGCTATCAATTTCTTGTAATAAAGACGTGTTTTATTCATAACTACCCGTGTCCCATGACTTTTGGTAGGATAGTGTATATTTATGATTGCGCATTATTCCATAGAGTGGTTGTAATTCTCCATTGATTTTGTTGTTAAATAAGTGGTAATTTAAATAGAAAAAATTCCCTTTTCTAAAGTTGGCATTATGCAGTTTTTGCTGTGTGATTAAAATTGCCTGAAAATATCTAAACTTCAAATGTTTATTAAGGTTTGTGAACAATAGTATAAAACAGGTCTTCAGAAAGGTGTTAGTGTAACATCTACTTTATTCTTTCTTATAATCTGAGAACTTCTTATCAAAACTTGTGATTTCTCGGCAAAACTAGTCACGTCAGTAATGACTGTTAGCCGTGGGGAGTAGTTGTAACGACAGGTTATTCGCATTGTTGTCGCTTGTGTTTGCTAACTTTTCAACAAGCATACCATTTATACTAACAGACTTTAGATTAAATAATATGCATAGCTGATATGGAACCTAAAGTTTAAGTCAAGCGATTTAGATAAGAAGTATGCTCAAGATAAAGGTTAGTGTAATCACCTAATGAAACGATTGTGTTTAGTCTGATTAGTTACCATGTGTCGCGCCAGATTGGCGCCAATAACCACTTAACACACCAGTGAGTATTAACGTTTGTTGTTCATACACTTAAACAGTGGCGATCTACAGCAGCAGTATCACTGGATCTTGCAGTCACAAGTACCTTGTTGTATCTTGTCAACTGATATGTCTATCAATCTGATTCGACACATCACAGTCCTTCCACGAGAACGGCCCCGATACCCGTGGTGGGCAGAGCACAGATCGCCCATTGTGTAGCTTTGTGCTTAATTTCAAACAAAC